AAGACCGAAGAAGAATTGATGCTTTTGAGTTGTGGTGCTGGCGAAGAATACTGAAAGTTTCATGGACTGCTAAAAGAACTAACAGATCTGTCCTGGAGGAAGTTCACCCGAAATGCTCCTTGGAAGCGAGAATGGCCAGACTTTGTCTTACCTGTTTGGTCATGTTGTCAGAAGGGACCATTCCTTGGAGAAGGATGTCATGCTTGGTATGGTGGAGGGTCAACTAAGGAGGGCGAGGCCTTCAACGAAATGGATTGACACGGTGGCTGCGATGATGGGCTGAAGTATAGCAGGGATCGTGGAGCCTGGTGCAGGATTGGGCAGTGTTTCGTTCTGCTGTGCATGGGGTCGCTATGAGTCGGAAACGACTCGATGGCACCTAACAACAACAACAATGGAATGGCTGGGTCAAATAGTATTTCTAATTCCAACTCTTTAAGGAATCACCATACTTCTTTCCACAGTGGTTATATCATTTGAGAGTCCCAATCTTTCTACATCCTTGCCAGCATTTGTTATTTTCTGTCTTGTTGAACTTTGCTGTTAATGCTGCAGTGAGATGATATGTTGTTGTTTTGATTTGCATCTCAATGGCTAATGACCATAAACATTTCTTCATGTGTTCATAGGTCACCTGAGTATCTTTTGTGAAGTGTCTATTCATGTCTTCTGCCTATTTTTAAAATGGATTGTCTTTTTGTTGTTGAGATATTGGAGTTTTCTGTAAATTTTAGAGATAAGTCCCTTGTCAGTTATGTTGTTGCCAAATATTTTTCCCAATCTGTAGGTTCTATTCTGACTCTTTTGGAGAAATCTTTTGAAGCACATAAAAATTTAAATTTCAGAAGGTCCCAATCATCTAGTTTATCTTCTGCTGTTTGTGCATTTTGGGTTATGCTTGTTAGTCTATTTATGCCATAAATTAGGGCCTCAAAATTTACCCTTATTGTTTTCCTTGATGAACTTTATAGTTTTAGGTTTCAATGTAAGTCTTTGATCCATCTGCAGTTAGTTTTTGTGTATGGGGTGGGGTATGGATCTTCTTTCACTTTTCTGCAAGTAGATATCCAGTTTTACTAGCACTATTTGTTAAAGAGACTATCTCTTCTCTATTTGATGGATTTTGGGCCTTTGTCATAGGTGGATGGATCTATTTCTGGGTTCTCAATTCTATCCCATTGGTCTATATATCTCTTACTGTACCAATACCAAGCTGTTTTGAGTACTGTGGCTGTATAGTAGGTTTTGAGATATGTGAGTGTGAGACCTCCCACTTTATCCTTCTTTTTCAGTAATGCTTTGCTTATCTGATGTCTCTTTCCTTTCCTTATAAAATTAGTGATTGGTTTTCTCATATCCTTAAAGAACGTTGATGGAATATGGATTGGGATTGCATTGAATGTATAGATTGCTTTGGGTAGTACTGATATTTTCACAATGTTTGATCTTCCTGTCCACGAGCATGGTATGTTCATTTACGCGTATCTCAAGGTTTCTTGAAGTAGTCTTTTGTAGTTTTCTTTGTATGGGTCTTTTGTGTCCCTGGTAAGATTTATTCCCAAGTATTTTAATTTTTTTTGGTAGCTATTGTAAATGGTATTGATTTCCTTGTTTCCTTTTCAGCAATCTCTTTGCTGGTGTAGAGGAATCCAACTGATTTTTGTATGTTGACCTAGTATCCTGCCACTATGCTAAATCTCTCAATTAGTTCCAGTAGTTTTCTTGCTGAGTTTCTTGGGTTTCCTATGTATAGGATCATATCATCAACAAGTAGGGGTAGTTTTACTCTTCCTTACCAATTTGGATGCCTTTGATTTCCCTTTCTTGCCTTATTGTCCTGGCTAAGACTTCCAATTCAATGTTGAATAGAAGTCATGATAGAAGGCATCCTTGTCTGGTTCCTGTTCACAAGGGGAATGGTTTCAGTCTCTCTCCATTGAGAATAATGTTGGCTGTTGGTTTTGTATATATGCCCTTTATTATATTGAGGAATTTCCCTTCTATTCCTATTTTTCTGAGGCTTTTTATCAGGAATCTTGTTGGATTTTGTCAAATGCCTTTTCTGCGTCAATTGATATGATCATGTGGTTATTTTCCTTTGTTTTACTTATGTGATAGATTACGTTGTTTGTTTTTCTAATGTTGAACCATCCCTGCATACATGGTATGAACCTCACTTGGTCATAATGTATTGTTTTTGTGATATGTTGTTGGAGTATAGTGGCTAGGATTTTGTTGAAGATTCTTGCCTCTATATTCATGATGGATATCAGACTCTAGTTTTCCTTTTTAGTGATGTCTGTGCCTGGTTTTAATATCAAGGTTATGCTTGCTTCATGAAATGAATTTGGGAGGATTCTATTCTGGTTACCTAGTCCCACTCTGACAGGAATATACTGTGAATGGGATGGCCTTAACAAACAAGAGTTTATTCTTATAATTTGGAGGCTTTAAGTCTAAGTTCAAAGTGCCAGGCTCTAAGGGCTGGGTGAAAGCCCCTCAACCTTGGGGTCCAGCTCTGCCTCCTGCTCCTGACCCACTGGAGCTAGAGCCATTTCTTCACTCAAACAGCTGCTGGCTTCTGAGGCTAGAAGCCCCAAGGTTAACAAGTAAAAAGGCATAGTCCCAATGTTACCAAACCAAACGACAGGCCATTAACATAAGTCCATTTTAAGTCCCAAAGTCGGCAGAGCATGGCAGGCTGCTGAGCAACGACACGGCTCCATGCAGGGTCCAAGTGTGCCATAGGCTAGAGACTATTCCCAAGGCTTCTCCTTATATACAGGAAGCAGACCACATCCCAAAGGCAGCTACTCAGCTGCTTGTGGTAGATCCCACCATGCAGTTGATTGCCAGTCTCCTCATAGGAAATAACTACCACCAGCTGCCCAGCCACTCAACCAGGCCCAGCCAAATTGACACACAAACATAACTACCACAGTTCCATCCCTTGTCAACTTGGCATCTGTACAGATCTTCATCGGGTAGCATCTGTGTAGATCTCCTCCACTGGGTGGATCCAGTCCCCTAGTTCCTGAGTGGTGACTTCACCCCCTTGGCCTGGTGGGGCCCCCTTCTTCTCCCTCTTGGGCATGGCAGCCCCGCCCCCTCACTCTTGGGCAGTGGCTATGGCTCCATCCCACTGGCTCACATGAATGAGCAGCCCCACACTCCAGAACCAAGCTGGTGAAGGCCTGGCTCTTTGAAACCTAGGGGGCTGTGATAGTTCCACCCCCAAAGGCCATGGTCCT